AGGACAAAATAAACCACAGGACTCCACCAGTTTGTTTAAACCCCCTTCAGTCTATCATGCCTCGGCTGCACATTTCTTCTTGGAATAACCCATTTGTATTTACATTGTTCTCAGACTTTTGGAAGTGGAAGAAAATGAGGCCAAATTGATTTGAATTAATGATCATAGAATCACAGACTATTTTGATTTGGAAAGGTCTTTAATGACCATCCAGTTTCATCTCTCTACCATGGAGAGCGACAGCTTGCACTAAGCCAGGTTGCTCCAAGCCCCATCCAGCCTGGAAATTTTTGGAGATACAGGGTCTGTCTCAGTTTCTGTGTGCAACCTGTTCTGGGCCGTTACCCACCCTAAAATAGCAAATATCTTCCTAATATCCAATCTAAACCCACATTCCCTGCATTTAAAGCCATTTCATCTTTTCCTAACATTGTGTTTTAACCCCAGCCACCACTCACACCTATGCAGCCACTCACTCACTCCCCAAACACCAGGATCAGGGGGAGAATCTGAAGGGTGAAAGCTGAGAAACTCGTGGGTAGAGATAAAGACAATAGGAAAGGGAAAGCAAAAGTTGAGCACACAAGCAAAGGACAGCAAGGAATTCTGTCACTGTTTCCCATGGACAGAAAGGTGTTCAGCCACCTCCAGGAGAGCAGGGCCCCATCCCACCTAACTGTTATCTGGCAGGACAAGAAACAGCACTCGAAATGTTCCCTCCTTTCTCCTTCTTCGCCTCTCTTTGTAGAATCAGCATGGTATCTCATGGTCTGGAACATCTCTCTGGTCAAGTGGGGTCACTTGTCCTGGCTGTTTCTCCTCCAATCTCCCAAGCACCTCCAGCCTCCTCGCCAGCGTGGCAGTGCAAAAAGCAGAGAAGGCCTTGGCTCTGTGTRAGCTCTGCTCAGCAATAACAAAAACATCTCTGTGCTATCAACTCTGTGTTCAGCACAAATCCAAAACAGGGCCCCCTCCATGTGTCACAGGCAAGAAAATTACCCCAGCAGAAACCAGCACACCTATCAGCTCCATGGCCTTGTCCAAAGTCTGTCTGCAGCTCTCTGGGAGACCCTTCAAGAACTGCACGGGGCTCTGAGGGATCACCAAGACCTTCTCTTTCCCAGGGTGATGGCACGAATACGACTTGTTACACAGCCATGGCAATCGGGCAGGAGAACAGATGTAGCCTGGCCATATTAATGATGTAATATGTGGTGCCAGAAGAATATCAGGGTGTTCTCAAATACAGGCCAGTTGGTCTAATGCCCCCAGAGATGTTCTGTTGGAAAGCGAAACACATGGAGGTGCTGCAGCAGCAGCAGCTGCAACTTGCGGGAATGAGGAAATGAGCAAAGAAGTCACCAGGCCCTGTTAAGTGACCCTGACATATCATGCTGCAAGTCAGCAAATCTGGGAGACATTCTGAAAAAACTCTAATAAACAACTGCCAACTCATTTCAGGAGGGGGAATGAAAAAACWCCCGTGATCAAAAATAGAAAACTTCTCTTTTCTCTGAAATTCCCTGTTTATAATAGGGAGCAAATTTATGACTGGGTATATATTGCGGTGGCACTCCTGAGGATTCAAACAATCCTTTCTCCAGGGAGAAGAGGGAAGGAGCAGCTCATCTTCCTGATCTGACGCTCTGCTTCAAGGTAAGCTCTTGCTCCTTCCTCACCATTGACCCAACATTCAAACTCTTTCATGAGTTCTGGAATAAATATATATAGACAAAGCCTAGGCAGGAGTTGCTGAGCTCCAAGAGTAACGAGAACTTATGCATGCACTGAATTTTGAAGCACTTTAGTATTTTCTGATAGTCAGAAGGGAAAAAACAGCAAGAATGTTTTGGGAAAGAAACTCAAGCCACTTCAATTGAAAATTCACATCAAACTCTTGAATAAGAAGGCAGGGGGAGATTATTTAGTACCAAAATTCCAAAAAACCTCTGGACCAAGGTGATGTCTGAAGTTGTGGCAAAATTTACTCTATGCCCKGTTTGTGGAATCTAACAACTCTGTCTTCCTGGAGATCATATAAATGCACAAATTCTGAGCATAGGCACTTTAGAACTACGAGCAGAATCCTGTACCAGTCTTTCCCATGWAGACTGTTTTCTCTATATCTGTTATTAGGTTAGATATTAACTTAATTAGACATATTTTGATCTTGTGGAGGGAGTGATGCAAAAGGTCTTCTTAGGAATTCTCTGCTTGATTTGGGGATGATGTGGACATGCTCTGCAGAGTATGGTAAAAAGTCACCAACTGTGATTCCAGTTCTCAGTTTCCAGCTCACTGGTCACCATGTTCCTGATCCAGGGATGGTAAAGAGAAAAAGGACCAGATCTCTTGGGTCAGAGCAGGGCTATGTGTAGCTCAGCATCCTGAATCCAATGGAAATGCAGAGATGAGTGTCAGGGAGTAAAGTATGAAAAGAGCAAATGTGTCAGGTGACTTGGGAAGCTTTCAACAATCCTCAGCTTAGACCATTCCCAGACAAAGGTGGGCTTTGTGCTTTAGAGGCTGTGGCAGCTTCTGTCCCATGAATCCTTTTATTTTCCTGTCCTGCCTGTCTTATTCCAAATGCTCATGATGTTAAGTCACTCCATCGAGTGTTCAGCAATGGAAGTGGAAGCATCAATGCTATCCCAAAGCCGGTGGTGCCTCTGAAAGGACACAAAGCCCCTTGCTGAGCTGCCAGCAACACAGGGAGCTTTTCTGCAGTTTTCTGTAAAAGGAATGCAGAATGCCAACTGCTGAAAATCATGTCAGCATTGAGAAACACAAGATAGGACACATTGCTGTCCAACAAATAGAAATTCCTGCAACAGTGCCTTTGACTGTACAGGATAAAGAATCAGCAAAGCTGAAGATGGGGATCATCAGGAATGCCATGCAACCATGGGAGGAGCTGCCCCTCAGTGCTTGCATGGCAGAAGCCATTGGGCTGAGAAGATGGAGCTGTGATCCCCCGTGCCTGCTGCTACCATCTGCTTGGCCCCTTCATTTTCTCTCTCCATATCTGTGCAAGTTCAGAATCTGGGGTTGGGTCATGTGGAAATGCAGGCTGAGCAGCAGGACATCCGTTGCCCCATGTCAGCTGAGAGGCAGGGCCCCAAGTGACCATTTGGGGTTCAATGTTGGTCTGAGTGGAAATGCTGCGTGTCTGGGTAAACGTGGATGGGGTCAGAAACACGCAGGAAGTGCAGCATCGCTGTTCTTTCCCTGCCCAATGCCTCACGTGTGTTGGTTTTGCTTGGCCCAGTTTTTGGAAGTTGATGGCCCAAAAAGATGGCTCCTGTGCGAAGCTTCTGGAGGCTTCCACCATGTCCAGCAGAGCSAATTGCTGTTGGCTCTGAGGATGATGTACATGCGCTGACCAAACCTGGGCCAGCTGGAGATAGTGGTTACGCCTCTGTGAAAACATATTTAAGAAGAAATCAAAACAAAAGGACAACACAGTAGTTTTGCCAGTGGAGGAGGCTGAGAAATATGTGAGGGAATGCAGACACCAAGGTCAGTGCAGGAAGGGGAGGAGCTGCTCCAGAGCCGGGATTCCTTTGCAGCCCATGGTGACCATGGTGGAGCAGGCTGTCCCCCTGCAGCCCATGGTGACCATGGTGGAGTAGGCTGTCCCCTGCAGCCCATGGGGTCCACAGAGGGTGCAGAGATCCACCCACAGCCTGTGGAGGAGGGAGGTCCCCACGCTGGAGCGGGCGGACGCCGAGAAGGGGCTGTGTCCAACAGGAGAGCCACGGAGAGAGAGGCCTTGCTCCCGAGATGGAACAGCCTGGCCTTGGGACTGCACCCAGGGGACGAGAGAGCCTACGGTGCAGCAGTTTTGGGACAACTGTCTGCCTGTGGGGGGACTCACAATGCAGCAGATGTGTGTGGACTGCTGCTCGTGAGAGTGGAGCCACACTGGAGAGGTTTACTGAGAACTGTCTCCTGTGGGAGGGACCCCACGGCAACACAAGGGAAGGACTTCTCTCCCTCAGCGGCTACAGACAATCCGGTGATGAACTGACCAACCCCATACCCTGTTCCATTCCTGCTGCTTTGTAGTTGGTGTGAAAGGGGGAGGGAGTGGGGATAAGATCGGTGTCTTTGAGGGCTGTATTTTATTTCTCATTCTCCTCCTCTGACTTTGTTAGTAATAAATTCACTTCATAATTTAAGTGGTGCCCGTTTTGTCCATCAAGTGTTTCCTCCCTGCTCC